TCAGCCTTCACAAGAGAAGGCTGAGGGGGGACCTGGTGTCCATCTATAAACTCACTAGTGGGGACCAGAAGGGTTTGGGGGAGACCTTGTTTCCCCCAGCGCCCCTTGGGATACCTAGGATTAACGGCCACAAGTTGTTGGAGAGTAGGTTTAGATTAGACATCCATAAGAACTACTTCACAGTTAGGGCGGCTAGGATCTGGAACCAACTTCCAAGGGAGGTGGTGCTGGCTCCTACCCTGGGGGTCTTTAAGAAGAGGCTCGATGCCTACCTGGCTGGGGCCATTTGAGCCCAGTTTTCCTCCTGGCCAGGCAGGGGGTAGGACTTGAAGGACGACAAGGTCCCTTCCAGCCCTACTTCTATGAGTTTATGATTCTATGATGATGCAAGGGACCCTCCCCACAGTGAGACTAGCAGCAGAGACAACCCAGCCCTGCAAAGAAAGCCCTGAAGGCTGGGCAAACTTACCCTTTAGAAGAACAGAAGAAATGAATGAGCTATGCTGGGACAGAATGCCTGCACAGTTCATCAGCCAGCTCCACTTCCAGATAAAAGTGGAGCAGATGGATGACATCATCACCAAACGCTGCCTGGCCAAAATAAAATTTGGCAGCAAAGGAGCAACAGGGGAGGCATAGCTGGAGGTGAGCGGTGAGGGCGCTTTCCACATGGGGTGCAGGCTGCACTGGCTAGCACCCAGGAGCCTGAGAATGGGCCCCTTTAATGGGTCCACAACCTTTTGAAAGGCCAAGGACGGTGTCGAGGGACTCCAAGAGCCACAGATGCTTGCCTTGTAAGTGGGGACAGGCCAAGGCCCTGTTCCCCTTTTTCTTTCTTTATTAATTCATTCCTATTAGTTGATAGCACAGAGGGACTCCTAGATGAAGTTCAGGGCCCAGAGTATTACTCACGGGTCAAGAGCAGTCAGGGTGACACTACTAGTTGTAGCGTAGTTAAGGAAGACATGAAGGAAGATCAGGGGTGGCCTAGCATCCCAAAGAGGCCTATAGATGGGTGAGGGCACCAAGGTCCCTGCAGACAAGAAAGGTGCTGGAGTCAAGACCAAAGGGTCAGCCAACAGATCATCAAACTGCTGTCCTGAAGGCTGGCGCATGGCTGGGGTGTAGGGGAGGTGGAGATGCAAGAACACCTGCTAGGGAGCATGACAGCATGAACTCTTTGAGGGTTCCCAGTCAATGTACCAGTTTGTGCCCACCTGGTCTTGAGAAGGTGCTCCTTAGCTGCCTTGGAGTGTGTGCCTGGGAATCATGTTCTCCCCGAGGGAAACCCCTAAACTTTCCTGCCACAACTTTGGTCTTTCTTTCAGTGGTGGAGCTCCCTCCTGTAGTTCCCCATGGGTTGGTCATAGTTTGTATTTTTTTCATAACTATCAAGGCCTTTGAGTAACATGCAATTATGACCAGGATGGACAAGGGATATTGGGCCAGTCAGCTGGGCGTGCTCATCGAGGGCAAGGCTCAGGTGGCGTATCAGGTCCTACCACAGGATGAGGCCTGACTCTATGATTGGGTCAAAGCCACAATCTTGTATAGACTCAAAATCAATCCAGAACACTACCGGAAACTATTTCAGGCCAAAAAGGGGCTAGAGGAGAGGCAACCCTGGATCCTGCTGCAGCTATTGCAAGATCTCCTGAACAAGTGGATAAACCCTGTAGTTTACGATCAGGATGCCTTGGCAGATCAGATACTGTTGGAGCAATTCCAGAATGATCTGGAGGAGTGGACACAGTGCTGGGTCTGCCAATACTCACCAGGCACTTATGAAGAGGCCATGAAAGTAACTGAGGCCTTCACAGCATCGGAAGTGGGATACAGCTGAGAAAGGCAGATCCCTAGCCCAGTGGCCCCACACCCTCAGGAGGGGGAACGAAGATGACTCCTTAGTAGGGGCAGACCCAGAGATATAGTATGCTTTTGATGCAGGAGGACAGGACATTTCTAACTAGTGATGGAAGCCTGAGAACCCTTCAAAGGGGCCAGGACAAACCAATAGATTGTGGCTACATATCCAGTGGGGGCAACATCATTTGAAGCTTCCCGGTCATGAAGGCATGGATGGGGAACTGCCCCATTAGGGCCACACTTGACTCCAGATGCGCCCAGTCATTAGTGAGAGCAGACCTCATCACTCCCAAGAGGAACTGCAAGGCATCCCCCATCAAAATGGCCTGTCTCCATGGAGAGGCAGAACAGGTTGAGCGACAATGGATTTAGCTCTGGGTGATGAAGCACAAAGGGAAGCTGCTGGTCAGAGTGTGCACTCGGGGCAGGATTGAATTCCGATTTATGATATTTTAAAATGAGTATGAGGTGTTGAAAAGGGACACCAATAGCTCAGAGGCCATGGTGGGTGGCTCAGAGTGCTTGACAAGGATGAGGGGTCATCAGATGATGCCAAAGAGGCTGACATATGCAATGTAGTCAGCAGTCCACAGTTCAGAGAAGCCCAGGAGGAAGACAGGGAGCTCCAGACAGTTTGGGCACATACTCTTCATATAAGGAATGACCAGATGGGGACACTAGCTGGAACCTCACAGTACGAGGTAAGGAACCAACTACTATATTGGGTACAGAGTGGGAGGACCGTGTGGCAGGAGGAGACACAGCTAGTACTGCCCACTTGGTTCCACCACTTGATATGGAGGCTAGCCCATGCTAACCCTACAGGAGGACACCTGGACTGAGATAAAACCATTGCCAGGGTGACCAGGTGGTTTTTCTGGCTGTGGTTAAGGGAAGATGTCACCTGCCAATGTGCAGCATGCCCTGAGTGTCAGAAGACAAGGGAGACACCAGTTCATACTGGTGTTTGTTGATTATGCCCCCGTTACACTGAAGCAACCCCCCTCCGGGGCATACCACAGATAGCTGAGACACTTATCCAGTGGATTGCGAGAGTGGGGATACTTAAAGAGATTCTGACTGACCAAGGATGAAATGTTATGTCTGGGGTGTTAGGGGTCATAACCACTATGAATAAGACATGAGGACCTCTGTATACCACCCACATATCAACGGCCTCATGGAGCACCTCAACGATACTGTAAAGCGAATGTTGCAGTGATGTATACAAAGTGACCCCAGGAAGTGGGACTTGCTCCTCCCCCTGGTGCTGTTTGCTATCTGGGATACCACATAGGAGTCAGCGAAATATTCGCCATTCAAATTGGCACTGGGTCATCATCCCCGGGGCCTGCTGCAGGTGCTACAGGAGGAATGGAAACAAGATGCAGGTAATGCAAAGAGCCCAGCCGCCTATCAACAGGAGTTCCAACAGTGAATTCAGATGAGCCAGAGCCCAGCTAGAGACAACCTTCAGGAAGCATATGGCGCCAAAAAGAAAGATACGATGCATATACCAGAGAGAGGGAATTTAAGCCCAGCCAGAGGGTTCTGGTACTCCTACCCATGTCTACAAGCAAGCTCCTGGATTAGTAGCACGGCCCATTTGAAATAATCCACTGAGTTGGCCCAGTAGATTATGAAGTCCACAGACTGGGGCACCTGCGAGAAAAGCAGATTCACGACATAAATCTCCTGCAGGAATGGCATGAACCCAAGGGGTGGACCACTTTTATAAAGAATGAGGCAGAAGCTCTCAGGCCCCAAGGATCAACAATGGAAGAACCAAGAACCAGGATGGAAAACCTGGTCTGGATAGAGGAGGAACTATCAGCATCTCAAAAGCATGAGACGTGGGCTATGGTGCAGGACTTTAGGAACGTCTTCTGTGAGGAACTGGAATGGGTCCAAGATGCTCACCACACAATAGGCACACCCCCAGGAGCCATAGTGAGGGAGAGGTGGTGACTGATGCCTCATCACATCCTTGGGGAGAACCACAGGGAGATCAAGACGATGCTAGAACAAGGGGCGATATGGCCATCTAGGAGCCCCTGGTGAAGTCTATTAGTTCCAGTCCCCAAACCAGACAGATCCCTCTGGCTGTGTGTAGATTATTGGTGCCTAAATGAGATAGCGGTCTTCGATGCGCTTCCGATGCCCCATGTGACCAGGCTAATAGAGCATACACGCAAGGACCAATATATCTTGGCACTAGATCTAGCCAAGTGATATGGGCAGATACTAGGGCTGTGCGAAATGGCACCGCTCTGTTTCAACTTGAGTTTCGAGGTTTAGATGGAACAGCATTTCTTTTTGAATTTCATTTCAATTTGAAACCATTGTTCCATTTTGTTTTATTAAAAAAATGAGGCTTTTTTGATGCTGTTTCGACATTTTGCCCATACACTATAACAGGGAAGCTCAAAACAGCCTTTCTCATCTGGCAGGCAGATTGGGGGCCCACAACCCCGGGAGGGATGCTGGGGCTGTGTCAGTCCTGCCGGAGTTGCGGGGCCCCGATCTGCCTACCAGATGAGGGAGGGAAACTGGGTGCTGTTGCCTGGGACTGGGGAGCTGGGGAAGGGAACTGAGCTTGATCGCTCAGTTCCCCTCACCACAGCTGGGATCAATTGGGCTGAGGAAGGGCTCAGTTCCCCTCACCAGCCCCACAATTAGGCTGGGGAAAGGAACTCAGCCCAGTTGAGCTGAGTTCCCCTCCCCAGTGCTATGATCAGGCTGGGGAAAGGAGATCTTTGAATCAATTCAGACTGTTTAACTGGTCCGCTGATTCAATTCAGATTTGGAGATTTGGCCGCCAAATTGGGCCAAATCTCCTCTGAATTGAATTAGCACTTGAATCTTTGCACAGCCCTAGTATTTACTTCTTCAGCTGAGGGGTATTTTCTTTTCATGTGTCATGAACAAATCATTATCAGAACTTCCTTTCTAAACAGATCAGGCCCCTTCCCCATCTCCATGCAGAACATTCCTCAATCCTCCAGTCACTTCCAGGTTTCCAACATCCTGTTTGAACATGGACAGCTGAGCTGATTGCAGAGATTCAGCCATCAGTCCCCCCAGGGATTTTTGCAGTAGCAAAGACATGAGCATGTCCAAATCCTCGTGGTCAGGACCCAGACCCCTGTCTCTGCTCTGCAGGCAGCAGGAATTCCTTCTTTGTTCATCCCATGACTCCACAAGCTGCTTCCCACTTCTTCAGTCTTTACATGTAAGGTAACACACAGGGAGCTGAGCCCTTCCCTTTATCAACCTTTTATTACATTTTGTCATGTCCCTTCTTTTATTTGTCTGTTGTCCAACGAATCCCCTTTTGCAGAGTCTGGGAGGCAATGATCTTGGTTTGCTTGTACCCCTGTGATCTGTGATTGGCCTCATCACATTCTGCTGTGCGTTTATCTTCCAACTATTCTGTTCTCTCCCATGATTTTCTATCCTTGCAAAACAGCCTTGTTGAGCGAGGGCTGGCCCTGGGCTCCAGAGACAGGGCAGGTCTAGCTTTTGGAGAGTGCCGCCCACAAGTTCAGTGCATTCACTTTCAGTTGCTCTCATTTCCTTTCCTGAGACGGTAGGAGAAGCCAGCCCTTCAATCAAGGGTAGTTTCAGGAGCTCTTCTGTCCAGCCAGGAGTAGGACTGCTTGGGTAAGCACCTAAGTAAATGTCTGTGCCAGAATGTAAGGAGACTGGCCCATAGGAATGAGAGTTGTGCCTGTTTCTATTCATCCTTGTTCTGTAGGAGTGTGTCTTCCAGGCTGCTGACTCAGGGATGCAGCTGCTCTAGGAAACTGTAAGGGCTGCAGTTAAGTATGGTTTGCATTTAGTACCAAAATCTGTAGGAAAAGCCTCAGCTGCTGCTAAATTCCTTTCCCTCTTGGCTGTAAAACTTACAGCTTTGTGGTCTGTTGGTGTGCAGTGCTGGGTAGAGCGGCTCTTCTGGATGCTGCTCTCCATGGGGATATGCTGGATTCGTAGAGCAAACAATAGACAGCATTTTTTAATCTGTGTATTATGTTTCTGGGGATTTTGGAGTGTGATCCTTGATCTCAGGCCCTGGTGTTTTGAATGCATTTTGTTCCATAGTTACAGCTCCATTTTCTGATTACATTTCCTGATTGCAGGACTTTCTCTTCTCTGCCATCAGAACATAATTTACTCCAAATTGTTTGCATTAAGGTGACTTTATTTTAGGGTCCGGCCATCATTGCTGAGATTGTCATGTAACTGCGGGATTTCACCTGTTGGCGTTTTGGCAAAAAAAATCTAGTATCAAGATATTAATAATAAAATGACGAGACTTTACAAAAGCAAAATCAAGCAGATTGTCAGTGTTTTTTCTCTGCCCTGCTAGCTGCTTACCAGCAAGAGGGAGGGAAAACCTGAGGGTTAGACAACTAACAAATATCCCTTTCCCCCTCTCTTTTTCCTCTCCCCATCACCCAGGTGTGCAGTGTTTGGACCAGGGATGGGCAATTATTTTGGATGGAGGGACACTTACTGAGTTTTGGTGAGGTGTGGAGGGCTGCATGAGTAGCCCTGCCCCTTGACAGTTGCCTCACCCCCTGGTCACCATATTGGGACCAGAAGTCCTGCCTCCTAAACCCCTGACCTGTCCAACCAGAAGTCCCTCCTTTTGCCTCCCAGTACTCCTTTTGGGAGTGGAGGGTTCCCATCTTGGAACCAGGAAAAAACAAACATACACTAAAAGGCAAACATCTACTACAGCATATTTTATTACAAAAGATCTTTGTCATGATTTGTATTTGTGTACTGTATATAGAGGGGGTTTCATAATCACTCAAAATAAACTCTTATTCTTGTATATTGTGTGGCATGGGGTGGTGGGTGGCCATGTGTATATGGTGAGGTGTGGGGTGTTTGTGTGTGTGTACAGTGGGGTGTGGGAATGTGAATACGGTGAGGTATGGGGGGTATATGGTGAGATGTGGGTGGTTGTGAGGGGGTGTGGCTGTGTGGGGGGGACATAGGGTATGTTGGGGTGTATATATATGTCTATGGGTCTTGTGGGGGTAGGGTGTGGGTGTGTGAGGGAGGGTGGGGGGGCATGGGGACCCCCCCTCTCATCGTGCATAGCCCCCACTGCCAGCAGCAGCAGCAGCAGGTGGCAGAGCTAAGGGTGCTTGTGTCCTACACAGATGCTGGGGCCTGGCAGGGCACAGCTCCAGCCAGTGCTGTGCATGGGGGTAAGATGTACAGCCTGCCCAGTCTGCCTCAATCATGGTGGCTCTGTGTGGCATGCCTGCAGCTCCCACACTCACACTGGGAGAAGCCCCACACTGGAGCCAGCTGATTTCCCTGCCAGCATGGACTGTGTGTTATTGGAGGGAGTGTGTGTGTGTGTGTGGGGTGGGGGTTGGACTCACTAGATGACCTCCTGATGTCCCTTCCAATCCTAATTTTCCATGAAGTCTATGAAAACAGGGGTGGAAGCTCCTTCAACAGCAGTGAGCTGCACAGCTGCTCTAGAGCATGATGATTCCCAGAACACCTTTCATGTTATGACTCATGTTGCCCAAACCAGCTGCCTGCTGCTCCCCCTGGGTGCTGCCAAATGGGGGTAGATGAAAGAGGACTGCTCTGAGTGCCTTTTTCATGTTACACCAATCCACACTGGGTTGGGTGTTTCTAAATTCAGCATCCATTCATCTGAAAAGTCAAAAGTTCTCCTGCACTGCCTGAGCCCTCTTCCAGGTACAGGAAATAAGTTACTTTCCCACTGCCGGGGTGTGAAGTTGCAGAGTTCAGTACAAGCATGGTTAGTTGCTGCAATGAGAAGAACCCTTTTATTTCCTATAATGGTCCCAAGTGTTGACAAGCTGAGAAGTCAAAGCAGCTCAGCTCCAAATGAGGAGTGTGTGTGTCAGGTGAGATCACTTCATCCATGTCACCCTGGTCCTGGTATGTTTTAGGCTGGGAGCAGTCTCTACTACCAGCATGGCTTACACTGGCGCTCATGCCATCAAGATGCCTCCTATACAGAGGATGTTGAGCAACTGCCGCAGTGACACTCCCAATTCAGGTATGTTCCTGTCTGTCCCAGACCCTGCTTGTGTTTCTGTGCTGTCATCTACTAACATCCTTGTTGCAGGAGCCTTCTACCAGAAGTAGCAGGTGCTTTCCTTATCCTTTCTATGTAATGTCACCCATGAGACTGGAGAGCAGCTGGTTAGAGCTAAACCTGGGATGTGGAGATGCTTAAAACGTGCTTATGGAAGGCATGCACTGGACACTTCAGGGCTATTACCTTGATCTGCTTGGACCAGTATAACTTCATGACAGAGACAGAGAAAGAGACTTCATTTTTTTTATTAGTTTAGATCTTTATTATAAAAAAAGTAAAAGACAAAAAGTGAAAGTGCCAATGTGTCATCCCTCCTGACTCCAAGAATGAGCATAAAACACTTGTCAGAACAAAAACACTCATCTCTCCAAAGATCATGAGCCTGTTTATGCAATACCCTTCATGGGATTACACATTTAGGACTATCTGTCTTCTAGCTTGAGGTATGCTCTCTCAGTGACTCAGCGTGGCAAAAGCTCATTTACATTTTCATAGTTTTATATATAGAAGCCGTAATCTGAACTCTTTGTAGAATGGTAGCATCAACCCTGACACAAGACATAAGACATGATCTGTGTTAACCTGTCACAGGTAAGCAGGGGGACTACAGTGCCTAGCTTCTCTAAAAGGCTGTTAATTGATCTGCAAAAACCCAGGCAGAATCCCTCCCACCTGTTAGGCTTAAGCCTTCCTTCTAATGCATATTAATGATTTTGTTTCTGTTTGCAATATATGGTCACCCTTAACAGGAATTTTCTGTTCTGAGGTAATCTTTTCATTGTTGGGTGGGGGTAGGTTTTCTCTGACTGTTCTTCTTTTGCCCAGGCTATATTTATTCAATCTAGTTAGCCAACTTCCTGATTCATTTTCAGTCAGGGACAGTATTTTTCCATCTGTTTCTTTTCAATGGATGCAAGTCCTGACCACAGTTCAAACTAAGCACACCACTTAAGGTAAGCATGAGGTCAATACTCAGAGATGAAGATATCTGGGTCCCGACAGCCCACCCCACACCACAGAGGAAAGCATTCCCCTACCCCTTGCCCATACCAATATGAGTAGGGGGTGAAATTCCTTCCTGACCCCAGCTATGGTGATCAGTCTCACCCAGAACAGAGAAGCAAAACCCTCTGGCCAGGAACCTCAAGCTGTAAGTCACAGGAGAAGCACTGGCACAGCCCAGTCTGAATCCCCAGCCTGGGCTGCAGCCAACACCCAGTGCTTCTGGGGAAGGTGGGGAGGAGGCAACTAAGAAAGCCCCCAAACCTGTAAAATTCCTATTGCAGAGCAAAGGAACCACTGTGCCTAGATCATTCCCAACTAGTGGCTGTTCAACCTCTTCTCGAACAACCCCAGTGATAGAAAGTCCACAGCTTCCTTGGGCATCTATTCCACTGCCTCCTTTTTCTAACAGTGAAGAAGTGTTTCCTGAAGTCCAATCTAAACCTACTTTGTTTTGACTTCAAGCCATATGTCTGCATCCTACTCTGTGCAGGATGAGAGCATAGGTGCATTCCCCTTCTTTATGGCAGCCCTTCTAGTACGTGGAGACTGCCATCATCAAGTCCACCGCTCACGCAGGTTTCTAACCTGTGTACAGGACCTCCACCTGACACAGGAGTGATTCACCTGCTTGTTGCTGCCCCCAAGGAACTCCATCAGGAATAAAATCTGTTGTAGTATGATTGCTAAAGGATATTACAATTTATGTATAATTTAATGAGACCATTACTTTACTTTAGTCATTAGAATCAAGGTAACTAGTAGGGTGAAAGTGCTAGACTTTAGGAAAGCTGATTTAAGTGAACTCAGGTGATTAGTCAAGGACGCACTGCAGAGTAGGAGTTTTGAAGTGATGGGAGCCAAGAAGGGTGGCTGTGCCTTAAGGAAACTATCCTTCGGGCACAAAGCGAGACGATCCCCATGCGGGGTAAAAGAGGGAAAGGGGCCAGGAGGCTTCCTTGGCTGACCGCAGAAATCCAGGGCAGCCTAAGGGCCAAAAGGAGAGCACATAAAAAGTGGAAACAGGGAGAGATCACCAAAGACGAATATACCTCCTTTGCTCGTGCTTGTAGGGAGGCAGTTAGACGGGCCAAAGCTACCATGGAGCTGAGGATGGCAACCCAAGTAAAAGACAACAAGAAATTGTTTTTTAGATATATAGGGAGTAAAAGGAAGGCCCAGGGAGGAATAGGACCCCTGCTAAATGGGCAGAAACAATTGGTGACGGACAGAGGGGACAAGGCTGAACTCCTCAACGAGTTCTTTGCCTCAGTGTTCCTAAGCGAGGGGAAAATGACTATGGAAGCTGGTCACCATGTGCTTGTGCAAAGATTCAAGGAGACGCATATTAATTTCTGAAGAGCTGTATGTGGCTCCAGAGCCACCAGTTGGCCACCCCTGGCCCAGAGGAGAGGGCAGCGTGGCCCAGAGGAGAGGGCGGCATGGCCCAGAGTGTCCGAGAGTCTTGAAAGGGGCTAAGGGAAAGGCATATCAGGTGGAAGAAACATCAAAAGTGCTAAGACCCATGAGACTTGGGGCATTGTGTAAGGGAGGAACAGAGCCACAAAATTTGCCCCTAAGGCTGCAAGGCCCCTGCAGGGTACAGACAGGCTGAGAGGGCCCACTGAGTGTTAGGACTGGATTGAGATTAGCAGGGTCTGGGAGGAACCCATTGATGATTTGGTTGGATTTAGGCTCACTCTAGATCCTGTGGCCAGCCTGTCAAGTGGGGATGCTGTATAACCATTGGCCCCGCTGGCCTGAAGCCTTGGAGGAGTAAACTGTGAGGAGTCAGAAGTGCCTTATAATCACTCTGTCTGGGGTGTCTGGTTCTCTCCTGCCATGCCTTGATGAACATTTTTTTATCGGGAGCTGGATTGTAGGCCAAGCAATAATCCTCTGTGCTTACCCAGGCCAATTTCCCTTTGTGGGCCTCCTCCTTTCCCTCTGACCCCACCCATACCACATCCAATCTTTCTCATAGCTGCTGGATGGTCTGTTGCTCAGGAGACCACTGTGCACTGCAGTTAGCATAATGGGGAAAAACTAGAGCAGGAATAACTCAGCTTCCACATGGGTGGCACGGAAGTGGAAAGGGATCTGGGAGTCCTAGTGGACTCCAAGATGAACATGAGTCGGCAGTGTGACGAAGCCATCAGAAAAGCCAATGGCACTTTATCGTGCATCAGCAGATGCATGACGAACAGGTCCAAGGAGGTGATACTTCCCCTCTATCGGGCGCTGGTCAGACCGCAGTTGGAGTACTGCGTGCAATTCTGGGCGCCACAATTCAAGAGGGATGCGGATAACCTGGAGAGGGTCCAGAGAAGGGCCACGCGTATGGTTAAGGGCCTGCAGACCAAGCTCTACGTGGAGAGACTAGAGAAACTGGACCTTTTCAGCCTCCGCAAGAGAAGGTTGAGAGGCGACCTTGTGGCTGCCTATAAGTTCATCAGGGGGGAACAGAAGGGAATTGGTGAGGTTTTATTCACCAAGGCGCCCCCGGGGGTTACAAGAAATAATGGCCACAAGCTAGCAGAGAGCAGATTTAGACTGGACATTAGGAAGAACTTCTTCACAGTTAGAGTGGCCAAGGTCTGGAAGGCTCCCAAGGGAAGTGGTGCTCTCCCCTACCCTGGGGGTCTTCAAGAGGAGGTTAGATAAGCATCTAGCTGGGGTCATCTAGACCCAGCCCTCTTTCCTGCTTATGCAGGGGGTCAGACTCGATGATCTATTGAGGTCCCTTCTGACCCTAGCATCTATGAGTCTATGAATCTATGAATCATGTCCCCTCTGAAATACTTTTTCATAAGCTGAGCATGCCCAGGTGCTTCACCTTCCCCTTATAGGATTTGTTTTTCAAGCTCTTTATCATCTTTGTCAAATAATCATATTATCATAAAAAATTAAGGTTCAAAGACACGTCAGGAGGTCACATCTATTCCAACATCCCCAACTAGATCATCCCAGCCAAAGCTTTGTCTAGCCAGGTCTTAAAAACTTCCAAAAATGGAGATTTCACCACCTCTTTGTATAACCTGTTCCAGTGTTTTACTACCCTTATAGAGAGATTTTCCCTCTAATATCTAAGCTAGAGTTTCCTTGCTGCGACTTGAGACTGTTGCTCCTTGTTCTGTTATTTGCCATCACTGAGAACAGTGTAGGTCTGTGGCAGGCCAATAGGGGGAGTTCCTGCATTGAGCCTCCCACCTCACTATGTCCGTCCACCTTCCAGACTCCACGTGTCTCTCCAGGGGCACCTAAGCCCTGGCAGACCCCCTTTCGAGCCCCACCGCAGAGTCCAGGGGTAACATGTGCTGCCACCACCCCGAAAAGGGACTGTCTGGGTCCTGTGTCCTTGGGGAAACACAGGCCTAATACTCCTATGGGTACTCGACCCAATACAAGAACTTGGGGCACTTCCTCAAGTCAGGGGCCAAAAAAGATCTCCCTTAGCCTGCAAACCCAAGGCATAATTAAGCCGCCTCCTAGGCATAATTAAACCCGCCCTTCAATAAGTCTCCCACACTAGGTACAAAGGAGAACTTTATTGGCTACAAAGGGTAGGGTTAGAATAGGGTACAGGGTAGAGCACTATCAGAGAAATCCCATAAAGCAAACTCCTGTGGCTGGGGTAGCCTTTGATCTCGCATTTGAGTTGCTGCAAGCTATATATCTAGTTGGATCTCAGGTAGCTTACTCACAAGTATCATCCAGAGGGAGTTGGAGAATCCATCTGGAGGCAGGCAGTTCCTTGATCATGAGTTTTGAGAGATAAAGCAAGTTTCAGATGGTACTGCTCTTTCTTTGTTCCTGAGTATCCCTCATGGCTGCTGCCCCCCTCCTCCTGGGCAGTCCTTCACTTATATAGACCTTGTGACCACATTTACCTGGTCCAATGGAGGCCAGCACCTGTTGGCTGTCAGCCAACCAATTTGAAATATATCACTAGTTGCCAGGCAGACTCTAGCCCACCAGGAAGGAAGCCCCTCACCCAGGTATGTGATGCCAGTCACGTAGGCAGAGGGAGCAGGTTTCTCCCCTCCCTCAGGAATGTAGCTAGCTCAGGTTGCCTAAAGAGATAGGGTAAGGATGTGTCTCTCTGCTGGGCCCATCCTTATCAAATTGTCACAGAGCAGAGACCTCAGGAAGAGACAAAGGTGGCCTTCTGCCACAAGATCCATCCTCTTTTGAACCCCCCTGCAGGTAGTTGAAGGCTGCTATTAACTCCCCTCTCAGTCTCCTCTTCTTCAGACTAAATAACCCCAGTTCCCTCAGTCTTTCCTTATGAGTCATGTCCCCCAGCACCCTCACCATTTTTGTTGCCCTCCACTGGACTCTCTGTCCAATTTGCCCATATCCTCTCTGTAGTGGGGGGCCCAAAACTGAGCACAGGACTCCAGGGGTGGCCTCACCAGTGCCAAATAGAGGATAAGAATCACTTCCCTGGACCTACTGGCAACATACCTACTAATGCAGTGCAGGAAGTCGTTAGTCTTCTTGGCAACAAGGGCACACTGCTGGCTTATATTCAGCTTATTGTCCACTGTAACCCCCAGGTCCTTTTCTGTACTGGTGTATGGCATTGTTCTATCCTAAGTGCAGGCCTTTGTACTTGTCTTTGTTGAACCTCATGAGATTTCTTTTGGCCCAATCCTCCAAATTGTCTAGGTCACTCAGAATCCTAGCCCTACTCTCCAGCATATCTACTAGTCCCCAAAGCTTGGTGTCATCTGCAAGATTGCTGAGAGTGCACTCGATGCCCTCTTCCCCCTTATTGATGAAGACATTGAACAAAACTGGCCCCAGAACTGACCCTTAGGGCATTCCACTTCATACAGGCTGCCAACTAGATATTGAGCCATTGATTCCTACTCTCTGAGCCTGATGCTTCAGCCAGTTTTCTATGCACCTTACAGTCCATTCATTCAGCCTATACTGCCTTAGCTTGTCTGTGAGAATGTTGTGGGAAACCATAGCAACAGCCTTGCTATAATCAAAGTGTACCACATCCACTGGCCTCCATGCATCCACAGAGACAGACACCTCATCATAGAAGGCAATCAGGTTGGTCAGGCATGATTTGCCCTTGGTGAATCCATGCTGACTGTTCCTAATCACGTGCTTCTCCTCCAAGTGCTTAGAAATGGATTCCTTGAGGACCTGCTCCATGATTTTTCCAGACACTGAGGTGAAGCTGACTGGTCTGTAGTTCCCTGGATCCTCCTTTTTCTCTTTCTTAAATATGGGCACTATGTTTGCCTTTTTCCAATCATCTGGGACAACTCCTGTTCACCATGTGTTTTCAAAGATGATGGCCAGTGGCTCTGAAATCTCATCAACCAACTCCCTCAGCATCCTTGAGTGCATACCATCCAGCCCCATGGACTTGCATATGCCCAGGTTTTCTAAGTAGTCCCTAACATGTTCTTTCACCACTGTTGGCTGCTCACCTCCTCCCCTAACTGTGCTGCCCAGAGCAGTAGTCTGAGAGCTGACCTTACCTGTGAAGTCTGAGGCAAAGAAAATATTGACCACATCGGCCTGTTGACTTGACACATGCCAGATCAACACTCAGGATCTCAATATTGTGCTGCTAGACAGGAGGGCATGATATAAATTTATACACACACACACAAACTACACAAACACTCTATGGGTTCATACACGCTTGCTCATACACAAAAACACACTTCCATGGCTGTGTGTTAACACTAGGGGGCATTTGGGGTAACTTGGTGCCTGGGGTTACTCAGGGTCAAGGTGCCCCAGGGCTACTGAGGGTCAAGAGGCTTGGGGTTACTTGGGGTCAATGGAAGACCCAGCCGAGCAGACGATCAGTGCTCTATGCCCTCTGTCTTGCACCAAATTCGTCTATTGATGTTGCCAAAAAACTATGCTTGCCTTATGTCTGTCTGTATCAAGCTGCAGACTCACATTGAGTCTCTGGTCTACCAAGGCTCCCAGATACTTCTCCATAGGTTTCCTTCCAGTCAGGCATCACCCATTTGGTATTTGTGTTTTTGATTATTCCTCATGAGGTGCAGCACCCTGAATTTGTCTGAACTGAACTTCATCCTGTTAGCTGTAGACTTCCTTTCCAATCTGTAGAGATCCTTCTGAATTCTGCTCAGATCCTCCAGTAGGTTCAAAATCATTCCCAGTTTTGTGTAATCTGCTAACTTGCTGAAGAAGCTTTCTATGCCAGCATGTAAATCAGTAATAAGTACGTTCAACAGCACAAGCCCAAGACAGACTACCGTGGAACTCCACTTCAAACATCCTTCCATTCTGACACAGACCACTAATAATGACCCTTTGCTTGCAGCTGTTGGGCCACTTGTCTATTCACCTGTACACTGTTATTGGTAGCTTTTGGGCAGAGCAGTGTGAGGCATGTTTGATCAGCACTCCGAGCTGGCCACTTTTACTTTTGCATCTGATTTTAGCTAAGGACCGACTGTTCTGGGTCCTCACCTCTGCTGCAGTCAAGTTAAGCACATCATACCACCACCCTGGGTTTGCAACAGATGCACACGAAACCAACAGAGTTAAACAAATAAACTGCCATGGAGCTTTTGCTTGTTTCATGCCTCTGGGTTGCCATGCTTCTCCCAGGCTTCCCTTGCACTGTAGCCTCTTATCTCTCAGAGCCTTTAAGGGCCTGCAGGGCTTGTGCAAACAAATGAACCAACAAGCAAAAGAGAATTCATGCTCACAGCCCCTCCCTGGGGCTGAGACACCTTGGTTAACCCCAGGCAGCAGGCAACCTTGGTGGCAGCCTATAAGTATACAAGGGCTGTGCATCAGGAACTGTGAGAGCATCTATTCACAAGAGCACCCCAAGGGAAGACAAGGTCTAATGGTTACAAGCCATTTTATACTGGACATAAGGAAAAACTTCGTTCCCATCCGAGTCTCCAGAGTCTGGAATGGACTCCCTCCCCCACCCCTGCCAAAGTGGTGCAAGCACCTACTCTGGATACCTTTAAGAAATGCTTGGATGCTTGTCTTGCTGGGGTCATCTCCCCCCAACTGAGTTCCTGCCCTTTGGCAGCTAGGTGGCTGTCTAGCCTCCTCTTAAACCCCAGCTAGGTGTCTGTCTAGTCTCCTCTTAAAGACCCCCAGAGTAGGGGCAAGCATCACTTCCCTTGGAAGTTGGTTCCGGATCCTAGCTGCCCTGACTGTGAAGCAGTGCCTCCTGATATCTAGCCTGAATCTACTCTCGATCAACTTATGACCGTTGTTCCTTGTTACCCTGGTAGTGCTTGTGGGAACAAGAACTCTCCCATAGCCTGCTGGGCCCCCTTGGCAAGTTTATAGGCGGTCACCAGATCCCCCCTCAGCCTTCTCTTGTGAACAGGCTGAACAGGTTCAGGTCCCATAGCCTCTCCTCGTAGGGCCTGCCCTGCTGCCCCCCTAATCATGCGGGTGGCCCTTCTCTGGACCCTCTCAATGTTGTCCACATCCCTCCTGAAGTGCGGTGCCCAGCACTGGACGCAGTACTCCAGCTGCGGCCTGACCAGCATCACATAGACGGGGAGGATCACCTCCTTGGACCTGCTCGTGATGTATCTGTGGATGCATGAGAAGGTGCGGTTGGCCTTCCTGACCGCGACCCCACGCTGCCGGCCCATGTTCATCTTGGAATCAATAGTGACTCCAAGATCCTTTCCTGCCTCTGTGCTGACAAGAAAGGAGTTCCCCAGCCTGTAGGTATGCTGCTGGTTCTTCTTCCCCAGGTGCAACACCTTGCACTTGTCCGTATTTTCATCTCCTTTTTGCTCAGCTGGCTAAGGGAGGCTATTTGTGAATGGTTCAGATTAAGAGAAGCACCCCAAGGTACCATGATGGGTTAAGAAACCCCAAGATCTAGAGGGTTGGTGTACCCTAGGTGGCACAGAGCCCTCCTAAAGACCAGGCCCCAGGTGGTGGCAGCAGTTACCCCAGGTTTGCAGGTGTGATCCAAGAAGGGGGTTGGCTGGACATGGGTGCCCCAGGGGAGACACTCAAAGCATGCTTTTCGGTTAGGCGCAGTGAGGTGGGTGACTCAGCACAGGAGCACACACTACAGGCCCACCACAAAGCTCATCTGACCCTGTTGACCTCAATTCATCCAGACCCATGTAAAGCTCTCTAACTGGCTCTTTTGTTATCTTCTTCCCCAGCTTGTCTCCTTCCTTATTCAGATATTCCTTATCAGGGGTCTGACTTCTGCTTATTATTATTATTTTTTTTTTTTGGTGAAGATTGAGGCAAAGTAGCTGTTGAGTAGCTCTGTCTTCTTTGCATCTTCAGTGAGGCATACCCCCTGGCTTGTTAACAGAGGACCCACAGCTTTCTTCTATTTTAGCCAAGAGGATTATAAACCCTTTTCTTGTTGTGCTTGACCTCCTTTGCCAGATGCAGCTCCTTCTTCATCTTTTTCCTTCATCTTTGCCCTCTTATTTTTCCCTGCATTTTCTTGCTACTTCTTGATATGCATCCTTGGTGACTTTACCCCATGTGTGCCACAGCCCAGAGCCCATAGTCCCTTTTAAATTGGCAATCTAGTTGGGTCCTTCCCTTTCCAGCTTGACTTACCATGTGGTTCACCCACTCAACCTCATAGCCCATCCCTCACTTCAGTTTTAGGCCCCAGAAGCAGGGGGAAATGATGTTGTTAGCATATGATCATACTTTGATTTCTATTGGTACATTCATCTCTTTGTAGAACAGTCACAATGTGAAAATGCAGTGAAATAAGATACATGAATCATTTATTAAACATTTCACCCATTTCTAGTCCTCCTTTCTCTGTTTTCTTGCTATGAATCTATGAATCTGTCCAACCTGTTCCTCACTGATCCAGGAGAAGGTAACTGCCACACTGGAGCATCAGAGCTGAGAATCATCCTTGTGGGGAGAACTGGAGCAGGGAAAAGTGCAACTGGAAATACCATCCTTGGCAAAAGGATTTTTCACTCCAGAGCCAGTGCAAAGTCAGTCACTGAGATGTGTGCCAAGGCAAGATTCACCTGGAAAGGGAAGGAAGTTGTGGTTATTGATACTCCTGCCTTTTATGATACAACAGACCCTAATAGAGATCCTTCACAAGAGATCAGTCACTGCATCCAGCTCTCCTCCCCAGGCCCCCATGCTCTGGTGTTGGTCCTACAGTTGGGCTATTACTCTGAAGAGGACAAGAAGTCAGTGGAAAAAGTACAGGATTTATTTGGAGAGGGAGCCCTGAAGCACACAATTGTCTTATTTACTCGGAAAGAGGAACTGGAAGATGTCCTCTTGAGTGACTACATAGGAGGGACAGATAAAGCTGATCTTCAGCAGCTCATTCTAGCATGTGGGAATCGATACTGTGCTTTCAGCAACAAAGCAGCAGGAGAAGACCGGGATGCCCAGCTCAGTGAGCTTATGGACATGATAGAGAAACTGGTACAGGAGCATGAAGGGCAATGTTATGAGATTCAAGAAGTAAAGGTATCAGGGAAGGCTAACAGGGAAGTGAAAGAGGGAACAAGGCATTTTGAGAAAAAGTGTGCAAACACAGGAGAAGAATTAAGCACTAGGTCAAAGGAGCTAAAGACAGAAAGGACAATCCCAGACAAGGTCAATGAAGTGCTAGAAGATCAGTTGAAAGATCAAAGAGGCATTATGATAGAGCTGGGAGAAAAAGAAAGAGGCTGTGAAGAAGTCATGAGGAGATCCAAAGAAGAAGCTGTGGGTGATGCTGAAAAAGTAAGCAAACATATTTTCACTCATATCTGTTGATATAAGTCCAGGTCCCAAATTGCGCTGAATCTTTCAAGGGTGACTCCTGTCAGGCTTCATAATCTCATGACTCACTCAAGTCAGAAGTAAATCTGAGTCTTGGGGTTGCTGATATTATTTTGACAATGGATGCTTCTACATGTTGCCTTACAGCAGGGGCAGGAACTATATGGGCCATGGGCCGAATCCATCCCGCCAACTCGCTGGATCCAGCCGATGGCTTTCCCTGCAGTGCTTCACGTGGGGCTAAGCCCCACCCACCCCCACTGGGGCAGCCCACACTGGCACTCCTGCCAGCCTTGGCCCCGGCCAGCTTCTTGCAGGGCTGTTACCAGTGTGGCTGCAGCCAGCCAGATGTTCCTCTGCTCCCCTCACCTCCAGCGGGAACCACCAGGGTGAAGTTTCCCCTCCCCCCACACCTGCCCAGAACGGTGCAGCAGAGGCAGGAATGGGAGGAGGAGCAGCTGCTGGAGGAGAGGGGAGCACAGCAGCACCCAGTCATCTGCAGCCACACTGGGAACAGCCCCACTGGAAAATGCTTGCTGGCTGGCGCCAGTGGGGCTGTTATGCTCCCCTCACCTCCAGCTGTGGCTCCTGCTCTTGACCCTGCTGCACTGCACTGCACTGCACTGTGCCATGCCATTGTGGGTGGGTAGGTGGGGGGAATTTTCAGAGGAAGGCTCCTTCCCAGTGCATGGAGCTCTGGCTCCATCTCCCAGCTGCCTTCCACTCCACATATCTGCAGGGCTGCTCATTGCACTGGGGGTGGGGCGGGGGCATGTGGAAGGTGGCTGGTAGCTAGAGCCAGAACTCCATGCACTGGTCAGGAGCCTCCCTTTGAAGCTTCCTGTTTGCTCACCCAGAGTAGAGTGGTGCTGCAGGGGCAGAGGCAGCCACAAAAACAGCTGCAGTCACTGCAGCAGCTGCAGCTGGAGGCAAGGGAAGCAGAACAGCCCTGCTGGCCCCGGCCAGTGCACACCTTCTGGTAGGGCTGCAGCCCACGGGGTGCTGCTCTGCTCCCCTCAGCTCCCAGTGACAATGTGATCCGGCCAGCTGCAGCCATGCTGGGGACAGCTCTGCCAGGAGCTGAACGCTAACTGGGACCCAGGCTGGGGCTGGTGTAGGGACTGGCAGGTGTGAATGGGCTCATGTGGGTGAGACTCAATCCCACATGGAGTGCTACAGAGGCAGCCACAAACCAGGCAAGTACTGGTGCACACACCCTCCCCCTCCCCCTTCCCCCCCCTCACTACTGGCTGGCTCCCAGGAAGGCCCTCCCCATGCACATACATGCCCCCTCCACAGACCCCCATACACCCCCCACTACCCTTTACTTCCCCTCACCCATGGCTGGTTCCTAGGAAGCCCCGCTACATGTACACATACCCCCTTCACATACCCCCGCTGGGCAGGGTGTGTTGGGTGTGGATAACACCTGTCCCACTCCTGAACACTGCTCTCCCCAATCCCAAAGCCTCATAGGGAGTTTTGGTGATTTGTGGGTGAGGGGGGACTCAGGTGGAAAGTGTTATTGGGACAGTTGGGGCTGGCCTTGAACACTGCCACCACCTGCAGTGGGGGACTGGGGTGGCAGCAGGGGGAGATGCGCACTGTGGGGCTGGTTCTTCTCACTGCCACCATATGCAGCTTCAGAGACTAGGACACTCCAGGGACTCTGAGGACCACCGCTCTCCACACACACACCCACCTGCACCTGCACTCTCCTACACACCCTGACACCCACCATACCCCAAACTTATCCACACCCTCCCACAGCCCCCCCACACACTCCCACCCCCAACCCTCCACCATACCCTCAACACACCAATACTCTCCTTCACATAATCCTACCCACCCACTATAACCCCATTCACACCCACACTCTTCCACATCCCCAACCTCAAATACACCCCTCCACATCCACCCTTTCCCACACACTCCACCCACCATACCCACACTCCCCACACACCCACTCCCCAGCCACACATCTCCCACATACACCTCCTTACTCCCACACAGTATATAAGAGTAAGACATGGAAGAACTTGAGAGGGTCCAGAGAAGAGCCACCCATATGATCAGGGACTTGCAAGACAAGCCATAAGAGAAAAGACTGAGGGACTTGGGCCTCTTCAGCCTACAGAAGAGAAGGCTGAGAGGGGATTTGGTAGTGGCTTATTGCTACATCAGGGGAGTACATCAAGAACAGCTGTTCACCAGGGCACCCCTGGGGAAGACCAGGAGCAATGGATACAAACTCCTGGAAGGTCACTTCAGGCTCAGTTCCAGGAAAAAACTCCTTCACAGTCAGGGTGTCCAGACTGTGGAATAAGCTCTCTTCAGAGGTGGCGCAATCACCTACCCTGGAAATCTTCAAAAGGAGACTGGACAGTCACCTCGCTGGGGTCACTTGACCCCATTTGCCTTTTCCTGCCTAGTGCACAGGGAGTGGACCCGATGATCTACAAGTTCCCTTCCAGTCCCTAGCAATCTATGAATCTAAGACTGTATTTTGAGCTATTATGCAATTGCCTCTACATATACTATGCAGACACACATAAATCAGGAAAAAAAAAGTTTTTAATCAAATGAAAATAAGTAATAGCAGATGTTTGATTTTTTAAATATATGGTTTGTTCATTTTCAGCATTCAAAATGGCAGCAACTTCCCTCCTAAAAAGTGTACTTCTGGGGCAAGGGGAGTGACTTCTGGTGGCACAGGTCAGGGCTAGGGGGTGGGAATTCCAATCCCAAGAGGTACCTGCCAAGAGGGAGGGCTACATCTGCAGCCCTCAACAGCTCATTAAACTCATTCATTGCCTCTAGTCCAAATAATTGCCCATGCCTGCTCTATAGTGACACTGTTACTGTGCCATGCTTCCAGCCACCTTTTGGAAGTATTTCCTTTTGGAAGTACTAAAGCAGGGGATATCAATTGGGGATATGTGTACCCCTGGGGTACTTAGAAAGGTTGTAGGGGGTATGCATGAGGGGGCAGAGATGGAGTGCTCCCCAGGACACAGCAGCAGTGCCTCCCCAGGTTTGTTCCCACACTTCACCTCTTACCCAGGAGAAGGGGAAGGGTTCACTGGGTGCTGCTGGCCCCACGTGGCACATTGTGGCTTACCCCAGCTTGCTCTCCTGATTGGCTGCTGGGCCATCACCCAGCAGCCTGGTGGCGGGTGGTGTTGGGAGCCACTGCATGCAAGCCCTTCCCCATTCAGCACTGCTGCTATGCCCACCCTGGGAGGCCAAAGCGGGGCGTGTGCCCCCGGATCTGTGCTGGGAGATGGGGGCATCGGAGACGGGGTGGGGCAGGCTGCCGCTGTGGGCTGGGGCCAGGGCTTCTCTGGGCTCTCCCCAGAGGTGTGGGGGGAACTTGGGTCACATTGTGCTTGGGGTGAGTGGTGGTGGTGTTGGGAGTGAGGTTGGAGGGGCAACAGCAAATTCTGGAGTGGCTGCAGCCCCTCCCATAGCCCCCTCCTAGTGCTGCTGACAGATATGCCAGGAAGTTTGCTCTGTTTTTTCTTAATGAGCAGCTCTTTGGGAGGTCTGGTAAGTGCATGGTTCAGGAAAAGGTTTCATTTTCTGCTACAATCAGGCCACATCTACACATTGCCCTATGGTGACATTGTTACTGTGCTGTGCTTTAGAAATATAATGAGGGAGTGCCCCACTATGGGGAAGTAGGTGCCAGTCAAGTGTAGACTCACATGGTTGCTATGTCACCATAGCACATATTATTATGCTTATTATTAATACGTTTCATTTTTTATTATTATTAAAAATATTTCAGCCACGCTTGGAGTCAGAAAAAGATGCGTCAACTCTGCCAGGTAAGCTACACTTGAGCCTGTGATTTACAGGCAAAGGCAGAAAAAGACTGCCAGGAAACATGATTTCATCACTCATCTCTCAGCGCTGCCCTCCCACTAGCTGTTCCTGAGCTCAGCAAAAGAGGAAGGTGACAACCAAGCACACCTGGTTTTCTTGTAGTGGCCACCAGAAATCTCTGCTCACTCCCAACCTTTGAATGACATGCCTGCCCAATACTCTTCAACCAGGAGGGGAAAATTCTTGGTTTCTAATGGGTGGGATCAATTCTTAGTGATCCTTGATGCAAATACACTGGATAGTATTTAGGTTTGTTCTGGCCCCATGATACTAAGCACTGCCCTCCATAAGCAGATAGACAAGGCAAGATTGCCCAGTGGACACAGTCATCTGAAAGCTTTACCCTGTCTTGTCTATATAAAGCCCTGCTGAGAGGGGTTGTTGCTTGGGTGCTTTTTAGGTTCTATATGCCATTCTGTGGAGAGATGTTAGATTTTTTCTTCTTGGTAGACATGCATCTAGCCCAGAACACATGATGTAGGGGCTGCATTGGACTTTAGGGACACTTTGGGGCCCAGGGTGCGAATGTACTTGAATGAGAGCTCCCATCCCTAGCTGTTCTCTAGAAAGGGAACTCGCACCTTGCGCAGGGTCTGTTCAGATCCAGAAGGGGTTAAACATTTGGGCTGGCTATGCAGGTGGCCTTTGTTCCCTGAGGGCAAAAAGGGAACATCTACTATGTAACCTGTCCTGCCCCAGAGAGTGAGGAAGGGCAATTGTCTGTGGTTTGGGCTGTTTCAGCATTCCCTTATTAAGAACTGCTGCCATTTATAGACCAGAAGAGTCATGGTCCTCATCCCTGTCCTGGTCCTGGCCTGGGATCTGAGGTAGTGGCGATGCCTCAGCCAGTGTGCAGTGTATGGCAGCCTCCTGATCATAAGTCAGCTGACTCACAAATTAATTGACACCTACATATTGGAAGACAGCAAACAGCAGCAGTGACACCCCCCACTGCAGCACCTGGAGGGGGCTTAGTGCAGGATATCCCCTCTGTACCTTACAGGCAGAAATCAGTGCTGGGGCCTGCCAGCTGGGCTGGTGCATAGCTGTGGAGCCAATTTGTACTTAAGGTGAAGTTTTAACCTGCCATGGTTGCATACTCTAGGCCCATCTACACATGTAGTTAATGCACCAGGGCTTATTAAACAGCTCTAAGGAGTAAACTGAGCCCAACAGGAGAGGCTTACTCCAGGGCTGCTCCTGCTATGCTCTGCCCCCCTGATCCAAGAACCATTTGTGATCCCCTTCTGCCTGGGCTGACTGGGAGGAATTCGCTTCCAGATTAGCATCTATACATGCACTTAGGTGCATTACTTTACAGCACCATTTTCTAGTACCTGTATCTGTTAGTACTAGCAAACAGTGCTTTAAATTAATCTACTGTGCACTAATTGCAGTGCACATGTAGATGATTAAGTTTACTGCAAATTAGAGTAGTCTAACTTGCAGTAAGGCACACTTGTAAATACGCTCACTGATAGGTAAAAAGGACTAAAAACTGGCATTAGTACCTGCGTGGAGCCCACTCCTATTCATAGCCTCAACTTCCCTCTGCATGGGTGGAGTTGTGGGCTGAATTGTTAGGCGAGTGTTTCTTAATCTTTTCTTTAATCTTAATCTTTTCTAATGATCCTCATGCTGCTGGTTCATCAGATAGTGAAGCCCTACAAGGGGCATGGCATATCCAAACCAGGCAAGAGTTTAGTACAAAAAAGGACCCAAGGACTTCATTCTCTTGTTAATCACAGAGATTTCACCAAGAGAGACAGAAGTAAATTGGATGTGGGCAAGCTGTCTTCCTAAAGCAAATAGCAGGTGTTGAGTAGCTGGAATACATCAGGCAGAGTAATGGGATAGGACAGCTAAGCAGAACATAAAAGACTCCCTGTCTGCAAGAAGGTCAGGCTCCATTTGGTTTCTTGGCATCTGTCTCTGGGGTTTGAAACCTCCAGTAGTTGGGGCATCTGTTTTATTGCCCCACTGTTCTTTAATCAATTAAATTGCTCTGTTGAATTCCTGATGGCCTGTTCCCTACCAGCTAAAAGTTGCATGTCTTACCTTCTCCTGCTCAGGAAAGAGATCTGGAAGTTAGTACAGAGTTTGCTAAAAGCATCAGCTCCCTTCTCAGCAGCCATCAAAAAGCAAATAAAATGTCAGGGATGTCCAGGCCGAAAGGATAACAGTCCCTGAGAGAAGCAAGGCGGGTAAGAGTGCTCAGAAACCCCCTTAGCTCAGCAAGGGCATTCAGCAATGCCTGAGGACTAAAAGAGGGGCATACAACCAGTGGAAGGGAGGAGCTATCACCAAGGAGGCAGGGGTCATCGTGGAGCCCTTGGCCCAGCTGTATGAGCATTCGAGGTCATCTGGCCAGGTGCTGGGGGATTGGAAACTGGCTAATGTGGTCCCTGTTTTTAAGAAGGGGAGTAAGGAGGACCCAAGTAATTATAGGCCTGTAAGCCTCACCTCGGTGCTCAGGGAAGACCTTGGAGAGAATCATCAAGGAGCACATAGATTCACAGATGTTAGGTTCGGAAGGGACCTCAATAGATCATCGAGTCCGACCCCCTGCATAGGCAGGAAAGAGTGCTGGGTCTAGATGACCCCAGCTAGATACTCATCTAACCTCCTCTTGAAGACCCCCAGGGTAGGGGAGAGCACCACCTCCCTTGGGAGCCCGTTCCAGACCTTGGCCACTCGAACTGTGAAGAAGTTCTTCCTAATGTCCAATCTAAATCTGCTCTCTGCTAGCTTGTGGCCATTATTTCTTGTAACCCCCGGGGGCGCCTTGGTGAATAAATACTCACCAATTCCCTTCTGTGCCCCCGTGATGAACTTACAGGCAGCCATAAGGTCGCCTCTCAACCTTCTCTTGCGGAGGCTGAAAAGGTCCAGTTTCTCTAGTCTCTCCTCATAGG